GAAAAGGAAAGAAAAGAGAAAGAAAGAAAGAAAGAAAGAAAGAAAGAAAGAAAGAAAGAAAGAAAGAAAGAAAGAAAGAAAGAAAGAAAGAAAGAGCAAGAAAGATGAAGGAAGGAAGACAGACGAAGGGAGGGAGGGAGGGAGGGAAGGAACGAAAGGGAAGGGAAGGGAAGGAGGGAGAGACAGACAGACAGACAGACTGGAGAAATAAGGTAACTCATCTAAGATCCTACAGCTAATGACAGAGCTTGAATTCAAACCAAGTTGACTGGAATCAAGAAAGAATTTTCTTTACCACTACTATATTGGTGGACTCTTCCCATGGAGACCTAAATCCCACCCAAATGGAAGAGATACTATATTATGCTTAAGTTTGTCATGTACTGAAACCCCATTCCCAGAAGCACAGATGGGTTTTTGAGTTGCATTTTTATAAACTACATGAGTATACCTCTGTGTTCCCTGTAATCACACCTTGATATGGCTATAAGAATGTCCACAGTTTCATAACTGAATTCACTGAAAATTGATTTTAACCTTCATACATAACCCTTTGATTAAAACTGTTGATGAGCCCCTGAATTGCAGGAAAACCACGAGGATCACTTCTCTATTACATTATACTATAATTGTGAGAGTGGATCTGAGGGTGAGGTGTGAAGGATTCCATCAGAACTATGTGACTTCATTAAATAAGGATTTGAAGTGAAACCTGCCTTGGCTAATTTTTCTTCTGCCTTTGATTTCCACAACAGGGTCTATCATCCTGCCTGCCTAGCCCTGTTCAACATAGACACACTAAGATAAAACACACTTGATGGGTAACTTGGTTACAAAATTAATCTAGATGAACCATAGAGGAATAGACCTAAGCACCACAAGTGGTGACAACCTGACAAGAGGGACTGGTTCTATCTGGGAATTATCTAGTCCCACAGAAGGAGGCAATGACAAGACGAAACCCCCATGATGGCCATCTGAGAACTGCAGTGGAATTCTCATTATCAAGTTTGCACCTTCCTCCCCTCTCTCTCCAGATTGGGCCTGCCTAGAAAAGAACAAAGCAATGTCAAAAGGCTAAAAAAATTATTTTCTAAACCGAAATCCTATTCCTAGTCAGATTATTAATCAAGTAATTAAGTATGAATAAAGACAGTCACATGTGCAGCAAAATAAACCAAGAACAATAAAGACATGTAAGTAACACAGAGCCTATGTATTTAACACAAAAAGGAAGGAAAAGAAAATTCTCAGGAAAATAGTGAAGGGAAGCCTCATAAGAGCGGCCTTGGAGATCACCCAGTCCAGACTGGATTAGAAGGATGGAGAACTACTTAGGTCAATCTCAGGGGAAAGAAAAATGGATAGGTTATCTGACTCCAGCTTGTTTCAGGAGCTTTATAGTTTTATCAAATAATTTGGGGCTTCAGTCTGTGATTAAAATTATACCAATTAATTATATTAATTATGAACAAATGAAAAGATGAGGCAATTACGACTAGGAAAATCAAGTTGTGCAAGGAAGGACAACTCTCTATTCAGTGCAGGGCTCTGTCCTGGAAAGGTGCTTCAATTAGACAGTCTAGAGAAGTCACAGGACAAAGACCAGCAGACTGCAACACCAGCAAACCACACTATGGTGTCTGTCCTTGGACTCACCCACTCACAGGAGCCATCGAACTCCCCTCCAAGTTGATGTCACTGTCCTAGGAATGGCCCATAAGCTGCCACACTGATGGCAATGTGGAAGCTCCCTGGCTCTGAGAATAGCCACTAGTCTCTTTGCCTTCCCTGAGCTTCTGCACTCATACTTTCAGATACTACGCAGTTCTTAAAACTGTTCACGACCTGTTCCCCTCACTCCTATTTTGAGGTTCATGGAGATACTGTATCATCTATATTTGTCATCAGTATTATCCATTAGCTTTGGTTTTACTATACTAGTTGCTCTGGCTAATTATATAAAGAGTTTCAAAACCTATGCCACTATCATTTCTCAGAATCCTCTACTATTTGATCTTTTAAGCTATGTTCAAGCATTATTTTAATAAAAATAAAATTTAACTTTAAAGAGAGAAATACAGAGAGCATCAGAGGAGTCTCAACTTCCTCGATAAGGATTTTAATTAACTTCTTGTTAAAAATTAAAAATAAATATTGAAGTCCCATTATGCTATGATGTACACACAGCATTGACTTTTAAAACTACATGACGTCCAGTAGCAATAGGTGTATCCAGCACCAACACCTCGGTTTCTAAATATCACTTTCCAATAAAAGAAACCGGGGCTCTTTGGAGAAATTGATTCTAGATCTGGGGCTGGGAAAATTCTATATAAACCAAGACTGTCTCACAGGAGCAGAAAGTAAGGAAGTGCTCAAAAAGCAAAGGGATGAAGACATCTCAAAAGGACACAGGAGCCAACCTAAAAAGCTCCCGGTAGCTGAAGCAGGAACAACAAAAGAAATAATGTGCCAATAGACTGTAAATATTATTGCAGATAAAATACAGGATGACTAGTTAAATTTAAATAGTTAATAATATTTTAGTATAAGTATGCCTCGCTGCAATATCTGAAAATGTCAATTTCTACATATCATTGATAGGTTGATATATATAACTATAGACTATGTAATTTTCTTTTATTATATAATATATATAATTGTATATAGAATATATAATTCTCTTCCATAACATAGCTTAATCTTCTCAACCATTCCTTTCATCTCTTCTAAATGATACTAAATCTAAAAGCTTTTCCAGAAGTTAGTGATAATATCTATGACTTAGATGGATGCTACCTTGCAATCATAAACAAGATTATGGGGGCCAGTTTGGGGAAAACCAGATAATCAAGTCTCCTCATAAATGTTGCATTAATAATATTTATTTCAGCTTCATTAACACAAATTGTGATACAAAATGCGTGCTGTATCATACAGTTTAATTAAATTGAAGTGTCAATACTCTTCTAGCAGTTGACATTACTTGCCATTTTGGCTCTCATGGAGTTTAATATTTAAAATTTATGAAGTGGCATGTATTTCTTAGCAAGAAGAGAGAATCGAAATTCTCTTAGCATTCTCTTCTTACCTTTTAAACTCTTAGAGCATCTATTCCAAAGGTTCTAAGTATTAAATTAAATCTGAAAAAACTACTTAATTTAAAAAGATCATAAGGTTTTTATACAAAGTTAAATGCAAGCCAGTCTTGAAATATGAGTTTCAGTAAAAATTTTACGGTCAAAAACCATCCATCACCTCAGATCTTCATACCTCCTTAGATCAAAAGGCAAGACACAATAGAGATTTTAGAAAATTCCATCTTAATGAAAAGGATTTCTCTTTAAAAAGATTCAAGGTCTAGTTTTTGAATCTTAAAATATTTACACTGAAAACAAAATATGACAAGTGAACAAATTTTAACATTTATTCTGAAATGACGTTCTTTGTGAACTTGCAAAATTCCGAACTATCCATATTGCCCACAAACATGGTAAAGTTCAATATCCATTCCAAGGGTTTGAAATAAGAAAGGATTTTTAATTATAAATTCCTCTAACTGAAAACAACTACAAAAAAAAAAAAAAAAGGATTCTTCCAAAAATAAGTTGAATCATTTCTCATTTGCTTGCTGGGTGCTTATGAATAGAGAGTGTGTATATACTTTGCTCAAGCGCACACTCCTACTTCCAAAACGTTATATCACCCTGGGAGAGAAAGCATTGTAAGGCACTGATAAAGCCACCTGTCCTTTCCCAGCACAACGTGCTGCTCCGCTGAGAGAGCTGCTCCTCCTGTTTACCCACTGATAAGGAAGAAGACTGCACTTACCGAGCTGGGGCTGGAGTGCCGCCTAACTTTAGGAGATTCTTTGCCCGTGGAGGAGGTCTTAAAGTTAATGCAAGCATTGTTCTCCGAATGCACCCTCTTTACTTGGTTAGTTGGTTTCTCGAACGGGTCAAAAGTGCTCTGTGTCCTCTGAACCCTGACTTTTTTATCCTCAGGAATTGTGTCCAGGGGTTTGATCACTGAGTCCATTCCCTGGCAGTTCCGTGTAGACATCTTTGTGACACATATCTGGGAGTGGGAAAAAAAAAAAGAAATTAAACTCAGAACTCTCCCCCTGAAACTTTAACATCAAAAACATGCTGATTTGTTACTCTAGAAAACATGTACTTTTAATTTTAGGAAAGACCTAACAAGGCCACATTCTAAAAGCTATACCGGCTTAAATCACAACATGAAAAATTCCTCATAATCATTCTGCTTGTATTTGCTTAGGGCTGACACTAAAAATGCTATCTCTGAAAAGAGAAATTTAAGATCTACAATGCTCGTGCCCTAAAGTGGTTCTTGAACTCTGTAATATGTTTCACCATCTGACTGCAAGTCGAATTATTTCTGATTCATTAAGAAGTCGGATAACTTGCCTTAATTAAACAGTATGGAGATTCCTCAAAAAACTAAGACCTGACCTACCATGTGATCCAGCAATTCCTCTACTGGATATTTGCCCCAAAGACTTGAAAACCCATATCCAAAAAGAAATTTGCACACCAATGTTCATAGCAGCATTATTCACAGTGGCCAGGACATGGAAGCAACCGAAGTGTCCTACAATAGATGACTGGCTAAAGAAGCTGTGGTACATATATACAATGGAATATTACTCAGCCATAAGAAGAGATGAAATACTGCCATTTGCAACAACATAGATGGACCTCGAGATAATCATGCTAAGCGAAATAAGCCAGATAGAAAAAGTTGAAAATCATATAGTATCACTTATACGTGGGATAGAAGCCTAAAAGCAACAAATGAACAGGACAAATAAACAGAGACTCACTGTCATGGACATTCAACTAGTGGTTACCAAAGGGTAAAGGGGTGGGGGAGGGAGGAGGTAGACAGGTAAAGGGGGGTCAAATATGTGGTGACAGAAAGAAATCTAACTATGGGAGGTGAACACACAGTGTAAACATATATATGCCTTACTTGTAAAGTGTACAGCTGAAATTTATTGGATTTCGTTAACCGATGTTACCATAAAAAATAAATAAATTTTTTTTAAAAAAATCAGTTGAGCTAAATCATATGGGTATTCTAACTGATGGGCCATCATGGAAGCAGCTAACAAAAGCTACAGAAAAGACACCATAATATTCTTCAAAAGTTTTATGCTTGAATATATATATAATCTGTCCCTATCTTGAATTCACCCCCAAACTAGAAGAGGGCATTTTAAAAAACTAATGGCTAGAGATGTTGAAAATCTGAAAATAATGTTTTTTAATATCAAAAAATAATGGATAAAAAGGACTAATACTGTAAAAAAATGAGTAACAGTTATTTTTAAATTTTGTTTACATTACTGCACTAGACCCTTATTTCCTTCCCAGCTTCCCCACTCACTCTCTTCCTGCACGGCCTGCCCCACTGTCTCAGCTGATTTTAGCCTCTCTGACTTTTCCTCCTGGTTTTCTACTTTATGTTCTAATCCTTTAATTCCCTCTATACTCTTAAGACTTTGTTGTTCTTATTAAATAATCTTTATGGCCTCTAGCTTGTCTATAAAGCTAGGTAACTTTATTATTCTCTCTAGAGAAAAGATAACTCTGAAATTGCTTTTAAAGTTTTTTTTCTTCTTGTGAAAAGTTTCCACATTCTTATTTAAAACGTCAGGAAAACAGGAAAATCCAATACTGTTAAAGCAAAAATATAATATATATGGGATGATTCCACGTGAGGAATAAATCTATCTATGTGTACGAAGAGCTATCAATAGATACAGATATACATGCCAACAGACACAAACATATAGATATCTGTATGTGTACGTATGAGCACAGTGAAATGTACAGAAGGAAACACACCAAACCATGTGTGTTATCTAGCATCCGCTCCGTCCTAAAAGCGTGTCTCAACTGCTAAGCACCAATTAAATTCCAGTTAAGTCAAATGAGAAAGATATCATCATACTTTTAACAGACTAGAAAATAGCTGAAGACGTCTTTAAAGACTCAAGGCAGAGTCGTCTACTCATGATCATAAACTCACAATTTATCACAAGGAGATGAGATGAACTCAACATTTTTAAGGGTTTATGTGTCCTTCTTAAAGACATGAAAGCAATATACAATAGATGTGATGTAGATGTGAAACCACCCACATCACCGAAGCAACTGAATTATAATTATAATATATAAACACCTGGGCTGGAGAGGTCAACAAACCCCAAGCACAAGAGATACAAAGGAAATAATACAAAGGCACACCAACATCAAATTGCTTAAAACCAGTGATAAAGAAAAGATCATAAGGAGCCAGAGGGGAAAAAGAAGTACTTTAAAAGGTAAGTATGACAGTAAATATTTAGAAACTAAGTAATACAAAAGAGGAATTAGAAAAGTATCTTGAACTAAGTGAAAATAACACAAAATACCTCAATGGCAAGATGTAGCTAAAGTACTTTAGCTATAGAAAAATTTTTAGTATTAAGTGCATATAGTAGAAAAGAGGAAAGGTCTCAAAGCAATAAGATTAGACCTTAAAATACTAGAAAAAAAAGAATGGAAATGCAAACAGAACAGAAGAATTAAAATAAATAAATATCAGAGTGGAAATAAATGACATAGAAAAATAGAAAACAATAAAGAAAATTGCTGAAACCAAAAGCTGGTTTTCAGAGAAGATCAAAAACAAACAAACAATAAAAGATAAACCTCTAGCCAAATTGGTAAGGACAAAAAGGTGAAAAACATACATTGCCAATATCAGAAATGAAAGCGGTAAGTAACATCACCATAAATTCTATAGATATTATAAACAACTTTATGCCAATAAACTCAGGAGCTTAGATGAAACGAATCCCTTGAAAGATAAAAACTACCAAGGCTCACAGACAAAAATTCCAGGGCCAAACAGCACCACCAGTTAAGTAAACCAAACATTTAAGAACAATATAATACCAGCTCTACAAAAACTCTTCCAAAAAACTGAAGAGGAGGGAATAATTCCCAACTCATTATATGAAGCCAGCATCATTCCAACACCAAAACCAGACAAAAACATTACAAGAAAACTACAGTTCAATTTCTCTCATAAATATAGATGCAAAGAATATTGGCACATTTTTAACAAATTGAATCCAATAATATATAAAAATGATAATAACCCATGAAAAAGTAGTATTAATCCCAAGAAGGCAAGGTTGACATTAAAAAACATGTAATTCATCATTTTAATGTTCAATTGTGGGAAGTCTCTCAAATGGTTCTCAGTGGTGGCCACTTCCAGGTAGTCATACTTATTTAGTCCCCAGATCTTGAGTATGGGCTGCATTTGTTGATTTGTATCCAACAAATGGCAGAAATCATAGGATACCACTTCTCAGAAAAGATTATAAAAGACTATGGCTTCTGTAGTGGTACTCTCGTCCTCTCAGTGCTAACTTCTCTCTTAGATCACTAGCCCTGAGGAAAGCCAGCTGCCACAGCACAAGGCAGCCCTGGGGAGAGACGCACGTACAGAAGGACTGAGGCCTGAAAACAACATGAGTTATGCTTTCAAATGCGACCACGGTCCTGGCTTCTGCTTGACTAGAACTTTATGAAAGACCCTGAGCCAGAGGCACCCAGCGAAGAAACACCTGGATCTTAGACTCACAAACAACGTGAGATAAAAATTGTTTGTTGTTTTAAGATGCTATTTGGGGGTAAATTTTATGTAGTAATAGATAACTGATATGCAGATCTTTTTTGAAAATCATATGATCATATCCGTAGACTCAGAAAAAGCATTTGACAAAATCCAGTACTTACTCATGATAAAAACTCAACAAATTAAAAATAGAAGGAAACTTCCTTAACTTTAAAAAGGGCATCTACAAAAACTACAGCTAATGTAAAACTTAATGGTAAGAAGTCTTTCTCCTAAGAACAGGAACGAATCAAGGATGTCCACTGTCATCATTTTGATTAAACAACGTATTTTAAATTCTACACAATGCCACAAAAACAAGAAAAAGGCAATATAAAGCATTCACACTGGAAAAGAAGAAATATTAGCAAAGGCTAAATGACAAATGTCACTTCAACATGTCAGCAAAAGAAAGAAGAGCTGGAAGGGCATCATCAAAGCTAAAGGAATGAATTTAATTCTTATCCAGTTCATGAAATCATATAAACTCATATAAACCTTTCGTTTGCTTCCCTTCAAGCTACCAATTCCGACAAAACTAAGACTCACAAGGTTGTTAACTTTAGGAGACAGCGGTACTCCGATTAGAAATCTTGATAACTGAGTCTATGCAATTTAAGTAAGAGAAAGTGTTACAGAATCTACTGCAAGTAAAGCTTGATGTCCTCCCTCAGGCCTTACATTAAGGACCCTACAATATGTTTTCAATCAGGTAGTCTCTCATTTAATGGATCTGACTACGACACACCTGATAACTAAAAATCAGTACAAGCTATATACCTGTGGAAAACCCGCTTCTCCAAGGCATTCTACCATTAAGACAGAAGAATGGCAGTCTTTTTCCAATTTTTAAGAGGAAAAAGTATTTTGACAAAATTTTCTAAACTTAAAATACTTCCCACAAACATTCGTAGGCATTTCACATTCCTCAGTTTTGTCGTCTACTAGCAAATGATAAAATACAAGTAGAAAACAATAGTTAACATAAAATAACCTTCTTGGAAATAGTATACTTACATGGAAACATGCCTATGGTTGTGATTTTACTACATTCACAAATATATTTCTTGCTAGTTGGCTCCTGGTTCATGTGATAATTTTAAAACAAATCCATATCCCACAACAGTTTGCAGGGTACCATGTTTTCCAGGCACCCCATCAGCGGAACACATTTGAGACTCAGCACGCTCTTGTCCAGCTGGATACAGGCAAGAATATTGTTCACATGACTGCCCCCTTTTCCTACAGAGCCCTACACAGAGCCCAGCTCACTGTGAAGCTCAATAAGGTTCTGTCAAATTAATAAATTGGATTTAAGAAGATTCAATCAAGTAAGCAATCTTCATGCTCTCTCGCTAAAAAATGGCTGCAGCTCTTTT